TTGCTACTTAATATAAGCAAATTAATAGAAATATCATTTTAAATGTCACTGAACTTTGCAATCACGAGGACACATACGAACAACATATGAACTTATTATTACAAAAGAGGATAATTATTTCCAACATACAAATATACAGTATTTACAATATTCTTAACCTTATATAATATGTAGTAATCATAATAATGACCTTACAAAAGTAACTAAACGCCCGGTTCGAATATCTAATGTGTCGTTTTTGGTAGTCGTAGCTATTTCTAAGGATTGATTGCTGATTTTATACAAAAATGTACTACTAGAAATAATTAGTATTTAGATACTGAAAGGCAATTTTTTTTAATACATATAATTTATTATGAGTGAAGTATGGTTGTTTAGTCAAGAGGCGCTTTATATTTGCCGCGTACCATTGACGGGCCTACCGTCTATCTTTATAAATTACAGGGTCCCACGGCTGGACATTTATTATTGTTTTTCCATTACAAATATCTTTTTCTTTACAATTACCTATATATTTTGTGGGTATACAATTTAACTAGACATAATATGAATATATATATGTACATATTTGTAAACATTTTCAAGCGAATTGAGAACTCGACAGAGGTTAGTAATTGAATCGCTTCTATACTGATTCTAGCGTAATCAGTGTTATGCCACATGGCTGCATTTCGGGGCGTAACCGATAACGGCCAGGCGTAGTTTTTGGACCTAATGTAAATTGATCTTTGACATGGTTTATGCATTACCTAATTCGTATAACAGCAAATCAAAACTTGGTCAACGCTTTATACTTCCTATATTAGTAATTTTTTATATGCAAAGTAAGTTACATTCATTCCAATCCAATAATTTATTTTTATTAATCGTATTTTTTATAATAAAATTATCCAGGTGTAGGTATTATTATCTAGTTATATCGTATTAGTAATAACTGTCAAGATATAGTAGTTGAGTGGGAAAAATAATTAAAATAAAGAAATAAATTACCAATAAAAACAAACATTGTAATACTATTCTAAGTAGGTAGTTGTTGTAATACACGAAAATGTTTATTCTCTTGTTTTCTTCAACTTAGAAGTAGGCAATTCTAGGACACAGTACAAGAAATGTGTCTCGTCATAAGATGCCTATGATGTGATGATCCACAAGTTTATGGTTTATCAACATAGGTATAATTATTACTATGAAAGCTACAGAAGCAATTAACAGTGAAAATACCGAAACCAGTATTAAAATTAATGATAATGTAATAATTGCTTCCGTATCAAATGAAAACTTGGACATCAATAGTAAACGTTATTAATTAATGATATTTATTGCGAAAGCACCGGATATTACGACTATTTAGACGATTTATTTATTATTAACTTGATTTTGATTCGAAATCTAAACAAAATCTACATCTAAAAAATATTAACAATGTAATTTACAATATATTTTTTATCGGGATCAAACCCAGGCTAACCAACTTGTCAAAGTTGTGACCTAACATTATGTCTAAGAAGTAATTTTCACAAAAGTTCACTATTATTATTTAATATAAATTTGTTACTTTTTATCTATACTAAAATTATCACCATAAAAAAATATCATTTTTTATTAATAATAAATGATATTATTGTAATTATCATATGTTTGAATTTTTCGTTTCTGCACGTTATAAAACTATTTGTGATGTTTTTGTTCCTAACTTGATTTCCTTTCCTTTGGAGAACTCCGTGGGGAACAAGTGCACAGGCGATAATCAAAGTTTTAATTTGGCGCCTGATAGACAGTTCTGGTGACCCACGAGCTGGAGCTCTCGCTCGTATAAGCGTCGCAATACAGCGAAGAAATGCTGCTACTACTTTATTTATTTTCAGCTTAAAATGAGGTTATATTCTAGTTATTAATTATTGAATCCTTGTCATAAATAAACATTATACACTTATTGGCTGAATGCCTTCATAAATATACGTTGTATTATTAGTTCTTTAATAATAAAACTTTTCCTTTAAACCAAATTACATAAGTATTAAGTGATTGAATTTCAATGACAGATTCCACTGTTAAACTACTCGAGCTTGCATATTTCTTAAAACTTCAAAAATGTAGATGAAGGTTAATAACTATTACCCGTTTCTTCAAATTAAACTAAAAGTAATTATAACTTTAAATGTTATTTAAAGTTTAATAGCATTGAGCTAACTAATTTAGACCAAAGGACTTTATAAATGCGAAGCACCTTTGTTTTGTGTAAAATTAATAAAACCAGTCAACATTACTACGTACCTTTGTAGGTATTTAATCCTTTACTTATGCAAACATCACACTTAGCTTTTACACAACTTTTTTTATGCAATTAGCCTTCGAAAATTGTACAAACTACTTTGAAACTTTTAAGTTTCAGTATGAGAAAGAAGAAAAATAACGTTAGAAACCGCTGACATAATTGTAATTGCATAAAACGTAGGTGATTTTTTAAATGTAACCTCAAAATCGTGAAATATTTTAAAAAAGAAATCTATGACCTAACGTGAAAACCCCTAATCAAAACAAAAAACAAGATCAATTTTAAAATTCGAACTCGGCGTCTGGCTTCGCTTAAATGAAGAAAAAATTAAATCGAGAGTCGAAAATCATTTCTTCTAAGACGTTCACGTTCATCATATTCATGAGGGAACATAAATTCAAACAATATTGCTTTCGATATCGACTTACACAGACTTCAAAGTTATTTTCTTTTTGAATAAAAATTATGTGTGGCTTTCTGCTCATTTATACTATATATTTCGATACTAAAAACACCAAATACAAACAGAATCCAGTTGGACCTTCCTAATACAGACTAATTCTAGTAAGAAATTAATTATTTTGCTGTATATAGTCGAATATATACCAACCGTAATATAAACTCCAACTTGTCACTTAGTTTCACACAAGTTCAATACACTATCACTAAACACCATCCAAACTGGTTATTCATTCATAAAATCACAACACAACGCGGCAGCCACAGGTGGGGTCGACAGAACGGACACAAACGCGCGCGACGCAGGCCCGACGCGAAATGACAAGGGATGGCGGGAAACGGGGTGCGGGGGGGGGTAAGCCCGGGGAACCTGCGTAGCTGTGTTGCGTACTGCGTAATGCAAATCGTTTTAAAATTCTGTTAATTTGATAGAACTGGCTGACTTTTTCGAACTAGAATCTTTTTTGATACTCTTAGAAGTTATATTTTAAGATGTTTTCGTATTTTGTAACATAAATGTAATTAATGTGTATAAATGACGTTAGATTGGATGTACCACAGCGTTCTGTATTTAGTTTCAATGCAGAATATGATTCTGCGAAGAGAGTCAAGAGACATCAATATTCAATACAGTAAGGAACTATAATATTTTTGATATATTCAAATTGCGAAAAAAAAAGGATTTATGCGGGTGAGGTAAATAAAGTATAATTTTATATTGACCTTTATACACAAGCTGAAAGTAGTGGAGATATGCTAACTATTATACGGATCTTTATCTCTCAGTGTTAAATTAGTATTGAATTTTGGTTAATATTGATAATTGTAATGATTTTAAAATAATATGTAGACAAAACGCAACATACGTGGGGCAACATATTTGCGCGCGGCTTGACTTAACGTAATATAACGTCTAAAAACATTTTATGCTTTATGTACGTCATCAAAACTATTGAAATATGTCAGAAACTAACGTCAAATATCAATAGGAATGTTTATCTTCAAATACTGATAAATTATGACTACAAATTTAGTAGCATCTTGCCCTGTATTTTTTCCCACATAACCAGTTTTTTTTTAAACCAGATTCTGGCAACACCGGTAATCAACTCTTTGGCCATGACATAGAATCGTTATTCGAACTTTTTGAATTTCGAACGCGTCGCTTCGACAGAGGTTGGTCTTGTTTTGGTTAGTTTTTTTTTCCTTTTTAGAATGTTCGAAGCACAGGTGTTTTCTGTCCCATCCTTTTTATTTGTGGCTTCTTTCGATGAGTAGTAGATTGAGATTACGTGTATTACAAACGTTTCTTTTCAAGAATTTAGAGATTTAATATTTCCAAAATCGTTCATAAGAAATTAAAAAGAGTCATATGAGTTTAAGAAACCTCTGTAGCACCTCTTTTGACGTTCTTTTAGTTGTCTCAAACTCTAATAAATTTATATAAAAAATTACTACTTACATACTACTTTTGAAATGATAAATCATAACAAACAAGAATATTATTAGCTAAAATGGACATTAGACAATATTGACTTGAAGTTATTGTTTAGTTTTTATTTCCTTTCTATTCAATTAATATTATTTTACCAATAATTGCGTTATATATATAATAATTTTAGAATTTCAAAAACGTCTATTCAATGAAATTCTGTAACGTCACTGTCATAGTACAATTTAACAACAAAGACATACAATTTAATATCGCAAGACCTCATATTGTATATGTCTGTAGTGACATAGGATTTACTTCCATATATGAGAAATTCAGACAACATGCAAAATATTGAATTTAATTAATCGAATGGTAATTTATGTTGGCCTAGAGAGGTCGTTGGTTCGATCCCCAGCTGTGCAACAATGGACTTTCTTTTTAAAATCATCATATTCAGCAGCATTTAAAATCGCTCGAACGGTGAAGGAAAACATCGTGAGGGAACCGGCTTGCCTAAGACCCAAAAAGTCGACGGCTTGTGTCTGATCACTTGCCTATTAGATTGAGAAATGACCATGAAACAGATACAAACATCTGAGACCTAAAAAGCTTGTACTGATTTATTTATCTATATTTAGACGAGGATTGTACTGTCCAAATACCTTATTAATCTTAAATAAAGGTACGTAACATTAGAATGCAGTGGTATTTAAAGGTCTGGGAACGAAGGACACGGCATTTAATGTTTTTAAGTAAGCTTAAAACATGGTAGCCATTCGCTCATAAATCACCTTCGTTTGGTTTACCGTTTACTGTATGGTTTATTGTGAAATGACTAAGTATTTGTTTACTAGGTACGATGTACCGGAATTGGGTACGAATATTTCGACCGAACACGTGGTGGTCTATGGGGCCTGCACAAAATTAATAAAAGGCACTGACAGTTCAATTCACGCTGGCATTAGTCGACTACCAAGAAATAAAGGCTTAGTTTTTTCTCTATTATGGCAGCACCAAAGGAAGTCGCGGGCTGTAAGCGGTATCCTGATCATCAAAGGCAAAACAAAGGAAGTATTTGATTTACCAGAACAACTAGGAACAAAGACGGAATCACAGCCGGCGATGGAGTCAAAGACTCTTTTCTCAGGTCTTCAAATTCCTAAAGGCAGCAGGTATCAAAACAGCCTTCCTAAAAATCGCAGCAGCAACAGCGTTCATCTCGAAGAAATGTGATATGGTACCCAGTGAATGGGTAACCAGGCCTCTCGCTACTGGTTTATTCCTTAAACACTTCATGCCAAGTAGGAATGATGCTTCAAGGATTTTAGGTGCGTTGGCGGCCTTTGAGGGAGGAGTATTCTCGTTAAAACAATTTGTCAATTCTAATTCATTAACCTTAAGATTAGCATTTTCTTTTTTGATTTTTAATTTAGTGTTGTATGATTCTTTTCGCTAAGAAAGTAGTACATTCAGATTGCTTAATAATGTCAAATTAATTATCGTTATGTCATAATTATAAGAATAGTTATGTTATTATGTAAAGTATGGTCTTTTTTTACCTTGTGTTTAAAAATTTAATCACCTTCCCCTTGAAAACATTACACGCCATCTGATCTATAACTTCTGGGGAGGTGATTAATTAATTTGATAGCCATATACGTACACCAAAAAGCTAATTGGAAACGCACTTGTGACAGTTACAGAGTGTGACCGCTAAGAGAGAATAATAGAACATTTAAAGCCGTATTTTTCATCAGTTCACTCCATTCAAAGTAAATTGAGGTGCAAATAAAAAAGTATAAATAACACACAACACAGGTACATCCTGCACTCATACAGACGTATAATGACGAGTTCATTTTACGCGCCAACGGAAATTATCGTAAAAAACCTGCCAAGTGTGAGTTTATTTCTTGTTTATCGTTAAATAATTACAATAAAACTACGTAGGTAATATTTTATATAAAATAATACTTTAGTTTAAGACTTTAAATACTTAAGATTTGGCATAATATTTATTGCCAATCACTTAAAAAAAGGGATTGAAAAACCTTTCAAATGCAATAAGTTTAATAACATTATATAATTACATTTGTCTTTGGCTTTAATTTTTTTTAATGTCACAGGGAGCAAACATATGATATGGTATGGACATTGCCACAGCGCTCGCAAGTGCGTTGCCGGTCTTTTAGGAATTGGTATTTCTCTCTACTCTTTTCTTGAAGGACCCTAAGTCGAATTGGTTCGGAAACTTCAGTGAGCAGCTGGGAACCAGTGGCGGTGCGTGGCAAAAACTGCCTTAAATAACGCTCAATTGTGGAAGGACGTCAAGGGGCTACGGGTGGACTTTCGTATTCTGTCTGGACGTCCGATGATGGAACTTTTTTAAATAAAAACAGTTTGTTTAAATAATGTAAAATGAAACTTCATCAACGTTCCATACCTAAGACCTGTTCACTTATAAAAACTATCTAGTATCTATCATATATTTATTTTTTAAGTATAGTTAAAATTCCCAATTCGGTCCCATTAATCCGAGGAACCCCAAACCCGAAGACATTCATGAATCGTCCAATTCGTGTGCGAGCGCAGGTGCGGACGACACCTGTCTCTTTCCCTCGCTCTCTCTCCCACACCGGATTTCAAAACCGACCCTTTGGTGCCTTCACGTCATTTTACTAATCATTTATATCTAGTACTACAGAGTTGCGTCATACAATTTCGACAAAGGACCAAATGTTCTCTTTCAAATTCTTCGGGATTATACGGAAACAGTATCCGGAGCTGGATACATTCGGTAGTGGGCTGATGAATTTTATAGAAAGCATTGTTAAGTGCCTATCTCGTACCTAATCCGCTGTTTTGCTGGCAATTTTTTTCTGCTTACCAAATATTTCTGGTATTTTTTTTTGTAACATTTATGTTTACCAATATTGTCATATATTTTAGAAAATATAGCTTGTAACATATACTTTAAATATAATATTATGTATGATGTGGTAAAGTTGATAAATAAATAATATGTTAATTTTGTAGTATTATAATAGACAAGTCATATTATGCTTCTTTGATATTTTTTTTCTTTTATAGACAGATAGGTCTACACACATGTAGTCGAGTAGCTGTTGATGGCGCTCAATACAAGCCTGGATTTGAATGTACGACCTCAAATGATAAAAAAATGTATCTTAATTGCAATTCTGCAATTCAATAATATAATTATAGAAAGTAATTTTAGTCATAAGTGGATATTAGTTTAGGCTTTGGGTCTTTAAATAAATAAGAACAAATATTGTCTTTCTGCAGAGAAATAGTATGTTTTCATCTTCGTTTTATTTATGTTACTTGAGCAAGCTTGACTTTCTCACTTACGAAATCTTATTAATATTTGTATAGAGTTGGGAAATATCAAAACATATTAATAAACTAGTGTTTTTAAGTTACGTAGTTTAGAAACAGCATCTATTTGTTTTATGTTAGATTTAGACAAGTTCTATTTTTAAATATAGTATATTTCGGAACAACGTCGGTAATACCAGCTGTATATGTTATTTAACTATATCTTGGGATGTATAAATTGACTTTAAAGTCAAATCGTTAAAATAAGTAGTTTATTTGATTTGCGAATACTATAACTCGTAATCAACGCCTATTCTAGAGACACTAATAGTTATTCTGTAGTCATTAATAAAGTACATTTCTATACAAGAACACAAAGTGAAATTCAGGAACGACACTTAGCACGAACTATGTCACTTATATGTCGAAAAATCAATACATTTTTGGCATACGGGAGTCAGGCTTAGATCTATATGTTAGTTAGTATACTCGTGGTAGTAGCAGTTTGTATACTTTCTTCTTATACATAACAAGGGCAAACTGGACACACATTACCAGGCTCGCCTTGCCAGGCCTATAAAAATTTATACGCTCTTTTCTCGAGCCTAAGTCTAATTGGTTCGAAACTACATCAGTCGGCAGCTGGTTCCAATAGAAGTCGTGCACGGCATATACTGTCTAAATAACGCTCAGTTGTGGAACGACGCACGTCAAGGTGATACGGATGGTATTTTGTATTCTGCCTTGACGTCCGATGCTGAAACTCAGCTGCAGGTATTAATCCTATAGAAGGTAATAGCAGTAAGCTATCGCTTCATTCAGTGTAACATTACACTTTATATATATATAATCTTTACTCAGTTATGTATCGAGCTGCCCGGACATACAACGACGAATATTTAAGCCTTGACTTGTTTATGCTATCGCGGAATATGCTTAAAATTAGTATTAAGCTTATCCAGAGCACTAAAGCACTGCTCCATGAGCATACCCCACATACACACCGTCACACAACACAGCCGAATTAGATATTTTTTACTTACTTACTCTGCTAGTATATATTATGTATTCCATCTTTGGCTATATGTTTAGTATAATTGTTTTTGCTGTATATAATTTATGTTATATATAGCTAACGAAATATATAATGTGAGTGATTGAGAGGAATAAGTACATTTTTGCGACCATTTTTACATACAATATTTGCAACTATTGGATACATTGACCGGCACGCACCAGATAAGTCAACAAAGGTGCATGCGAGTTAGTCAAAGATAGTCTAATCTGATTCAAAAAGTAGAACCTCCTGACTTTATTACAAGCACCTTTAGCCTTAAATAGCCCCAAACTCGTAGGGGGCTAAACAAAAGACGATAAAATGACTCCCACGGTCATCGAATTATAGGGTTGCCGACCCATATGATATAGGATTAAATCACAGAGACCTCTGTTGTCCAGTGTTAACATAACAATTAATGTTATAGACACTGAAATCGATGAATTGGATTAGAATAAAAATCATTGAATGAAGGTAAAGTAAACTTTTTTATTTATTTGTTTATTTTACACCTTTTTTGATTTAATAAACTGCCCAGCTTTATTTATATACATACAAAAATATAAATAGTTTGCAAAAGTATTTCATGTAAAATAAATACCATTGAGATACTTAATTTAAAATGAAATTATATGTTTAATATTGGCAACCCTATTCAAATGCCCTGTGACTCAACGTCACGGTTCGCGGCGTTAGGAAGAAATTATTAAAACTAAGATGGTCAGGTTAACTGCATGCATCATAATATTACAAAGAATCGTTTTTTTTAAATATTACTGTTGTTTGAAAAGTTTGCGACGAAATCTCTGGTGTATTTTTAATTAATAATGTCAATAAAGACCCTTTAAAACACTATTCAAATAATGCTAAACTTTTGATCTAATAACTTTAACCATCTTCAGAAGACCCAAAGGATGGTTTAAAAATTAAAAGATTTTTAAAAATAATTAATTGCTTTATATTATATAAAGCAAAACAATGTGTTCATATACGTTATATATAAATATTTATAACTAATGAGGTTTTCAATTTAGCATTTCCGTTTTTAAATTCCTGTGATATAATATCTGGGATTGTACATAGTGAACTTTAAATAACATTTCTCTCTTGCCCATTCTTCTCCACACGAAACTACCTTTTGGAAGGGGCAACTAGAATCTTCTTTGTATTTTTTTTGACGTTCAAAAGTGCCACTTTAGGTGGTCTAATTGAAATAAATGTTTTGACTTTGACTATCCACCAGGCGCCAACTTAAATCTTTAATTAGCGCCTGTGCACTTGAACCCCACGGCCCATGAATCTAAAGGAAACAAAATCCAAGTTAGAGGGAAGGCTTATATTTGAAACGTTCATTATTATCTTCCGCTTACTCTGCGGCCTGGCTTCTGTGCTTGCCTGAGGGAGGTGAGACGGGGCTAACGTGTCCACACATGTAGCATCCCTTACCAAAGCCCGTCCCGTCTTCCAAGGGATCAAAGACATCCCATCCGGCCGCTTGCCATCGCCTCTAGCCATGTCAAATCTTCTTTTTAGATTCCTTTTTTAATTTTGTATTAAAGTTAGACATTAATTATTTTTGGGCGTTGAACAATATTACAGCTCCTGCAATTGCACCCGAGTAGATTTCAATAAAAATATTGAATTATACACATAATCCTTCCTCAGGAATAACTATCTAATGGTGAAAACCGTACATGAAACAGTTGGGTAGTTTAGGGTTTATCGTGTTCATATAGACAAACAGCGGGAGGCGACGAACTCATCATCTCTGGTAAAATACGTAATAAATGTATCACAATACAACATTATCCCAGACTTACAGCAATAAGTATTCATT